GCCTCCAGCAGGAGGATCCTCCCCTCCAGCCAAGGGACATTGCGGCGGTGAGGTCACTCCTGCTCGTCCCGAGGAGATCGGAGCGGGTCTGGGGAAAGATGCCCAGGGCCGGTGAGCGTTCTGCCCTGCAGGGATGTCTCAAACTCTGACACAGCTCTTCACCTGCCCTTGTCCCCCTCCCTCGTGTGTTTTTCAGGACACGGTGGCGTCAATCAGCTGGGGGGCGTTTTCGTGAATGGCCGCCCCCTCCCAGATGTGGTTCGCCAAAGGATCGTGGAGCTCGCCCACCAAGGGGTCCGCCCGTGTGACATCTCCCGGCAGCTCCGTGTCAGCCACGGCTGTGTCAGCAAAATACTTGGCAGGTAAACGGGGATGGCAATCCTTCTGTGCCAAAAGTGTGGCTGCCAGCCCCTGAACAGGAGACAGGTCCAGTGAGCAGCGCTGCGTTTCTATGGCACATGTGGGAAAAAAGAGCCACTGTCTGTAGGTCTGGTTTGCCTCTTTTACCATTCCTTGCAGGTAATTCCAGTGCAACAAGCAGAATGCCATGGGTGTTTGCTGTGTGTGTATGTCCTGCACCTGTCTGACCTGAGCAGGAAGGGAAATCTCACAATCACATTCAGCAAAATGTGAAAAAAAAAAAAAAATAGAAGTCGTAGAAGTTACTTGTTTTGCTTCCTAAATAGAACTCTTTTTAAGGATAGTATAATKATATATTACATAAACATTGTGGTATATGCACTCATGTAAGTTATTCTGCACTCTGTGCCACTGTTTATAATTAAATGCCTTTTTCCAGTCTCCTGCTGGATTATGAGAGCACAGAATACCACAAGTAGCTAGTAAGTAACATAAATGTAGTTTGGTTTCTTTGGGAGCATCTCTCTGTTCAGCCAGGAGCTACTCCAGACACTATGCCATCAGGATATTAAATGCTGAATTAATATTATTTCCTGATTTCCTTTTAAAATTTGATAAATTCAGGTAAAAGACGCCATGCTTGCTATTTGCTTTTCTTTTTTTTTTTTTTTTTTTTTTTTTTGTCTTCTCTACAAGCCCAAGCCTAATTTATGTAAATTACAGTTTTCAAATGGTTTTGAACCCCAGGTATTCTTACATACTTTTTTTTTTTTTTTTTTTTACAAGCCCAAGCCTAATTTATGTAAATTACAGTTTTCAAATGGTTTTGAACCCCAGGTATTCTTACATACTTGGGCAACTTATATCAAGAAAAATTAATTTTTTTTGAAAGTGTTTTTTTTATCATCTAGAAAAGTTAATTCCTGGTCTGTTTGCTAAGCTTTCACAGCTAATTTAATTGTTTGACATTTTACTATTTTTATTTTAAATATTCTTTTCCAATTCCTAGCAAACATGTTTTTGTGGACATAGCACAGCTGCAAGGACAATTGAAGCATTCTTTTGTAGTATCACACCGGGGATGTGTTGGATTARCAGCATTTCTTATCACTCAGTGGCCATAGAAGTGTTTATATTTGTCAGGGTCAGAGGGCTCTTGTTTTGCAGCTCTTGTCACTGTTTTCCTCACATCCRAATTACCTTTGATTGTCCGAGTTGGTGAGCAGCACCTCCACATCCCCGCTGGCTCTCAGAGCCGCAGCGTGTAGGCTGCACTCAGCGCCTCTGCTTTATCTCTGCATTCCTCACAGAGATATGCTTTCCCTGCCAGCCACATGCTGGAGTTTTGAGAACACAGATTTAGTCAGGAAAACTTTCCATGGTTTCAAATTGAGCACCACGGGCTGTTTCTGTCAGGTGTGGCTCCGCATCTGCAGCTCGCACAGGTTCTGCTCCCTCCTCACTGCTGCTCCTGGAATTGTCACAATTCCCATCAGGACCCACACACAGCCTGGAAACAGCCAATTTGTTTATTTTGCCACCAGGCACAAGTCTGGTGGTTTTACTTTTGCCAGTTTAGGTCCACTGTTAGAAATATTTACAATACAGAGCTCAGAGTGAGGCTCTGTCTCTGTGTTCGCTACAGAGCTCTGTCATTAAAGTTGTCAACAATAAATTGGAATTTCATAGCTTATTATTTTSCTAAGTAATAATTACACTGGGCAAAACGTCTCTGTAATTGCAGCTCTGTGTGTATGTGTATTCTCGTGTGCGTGCATGTGTGTGAAACCTGGGAATCCTCGTGATAAATCCTTACGTTTAGAATTTTATTATATGGAATTTTCAGTAGTAGATGCAGCTTTAAAAACCATCCAGGGGCTGTAACCAGCAGCTGCAGGGCAGGTGAAGCTCTCAGCCCTACAAGGAGGGTGCCATTGGGGTGTCCACCCTACAGCTGCCTTTGCAACCCTCTGTGAGCGAAAGGCCCTGAGCTGATGCGCACAAAATGATTTCTGTGAGCCATCCTCGCCTTTAAAATGGAGACAGGAGTGAGGGATGCTGCATCCACGCAGCCCGTGACTGCACCCGGATTCATGGCCAGGCAGGACGGGGATTTCAGGGGCAGTGCGGGGTGAGAGCTGTCCCCATCGGGGTGACCGTCCCCAATGTCCAGGGAAGGGGTTTGGGGCAATCCCGCACCTCCCACGCGGGGTGAGCCTTTCSTGGGCTCGAGCTGTGAGCGTGAGCAGGGGGCAGGCATTGAGGAGTTTGGGGTGGAGGTGTTGCTGTCCCCTGGTGAGGTCACCACAGCCCCTTTTCCCTGGTGACAATGGCTCTTGCTGTTGTGGCTTTCCCGTGGTGGTGATGAACACCATCCTGTGCTCCCCTTGGCCAGACTGTCCTGGAGTGCAGGGCACCGACCACTTTTGGAGAAAAGCACTCAGAAACATTTGTGAAATCCATCATTTTGATGACTAGATCTAAGAAAATTGTTGTCTGGGAGCGTTTTTAGTATTGTCTGGTTTCCTTCTGCACCCTTCCCACAAAAGCGGTGGCAGCAATGAAGATTTTGAGGCCAGGGGTGCAAGATTTTAGAAGGTTTATGAGCCACATTTGCCATTGTTTTGTCATGTCCTSGTGGAAGTGTGGGAAGAAATGAATTTTTCCCTTTTGCCCTAAAGCTCACTGCATTATTATTATCATAACAGCAGGAGGGTTAATCCATCCCTGGCACTCAACACTTGCCGTTTTTGATATTGCATAAATGGCTCATGGAGAATGTCAACATTTACACCCAGAGTATCTGAGTCAACATTTACACCCAGAGTATCTGAGAACATTTACGAACAAATTGGAGTCAATCTCTTTAAAGGAACTTTACTCCCTGCACACAGAACTCTCCCAGAAATGCTGAAAAGAGATAGCCTGGCAAAAATTGATGAACATGGTTGCATGTTTCAGTGAGGCAGAMTTTGGCTGTGCAGACTCTGCTTGTGCTCTGCTCAGGCTGGAAACATGGGGAATATATAATTTTTTTTTTAAATTTTTTTTTTAAAGAATGGTTATGTCAGATAGTTGCAGGGAAAATATGTTAATAAGCACTCTTATCGTCTTGCTTGGGATTTCCTTGTTTTTCCTGAGTTGGAAATGTGAGCATACAGCAGGAAGCGATTGTGTTTGAGCTGCTGTGAACGTGGCTTGGTGTGTGCCTGTTTGAGAGGTCTGCTCTGTATGAAAGGGGTGTGCAGGGGGTTTATTTTTAATCCAATCATGAAAAAATTCACAAGACAGAAAGAAGTTGGGGGCTGTGAGAGAACCTGTGTGGAACGCCGTGAGTGTGGCACGGAGGAGCACGATCTCGCTCTTGTTCTGCATTCTGGCCCTCAGCAGATAAAATGTGATTTCTGCTCTYAGCAGTGTATTCAAGAGTTTGTTTGTCAAAGGGGGACACGTGCAGGGCTCAGGGATCTCAGCTGCAAAGCTACCAAAAGCGGTTGATTTTGTGTGATTTACATACAAAGAAATTGGTCATATTTCTGTTGATTCTGGGATCTCATTCTCCACCTTTCCTGGGGCCATGGCATCAGGAAAACTGCTGGAGGGGTGAGGATGCTGTGCTTGAGGAGGTGCTGGGCACAGAAACCAATCCCTGCCTCAGCTGGACCTGTCCAGAGCATGAACGTCTCATTTTCCCTCAAAATTTGTTATTGAAACTACTGCAAACATAATGATGAAAAGAATGCATTTTGAAAAATATCAACTGTTAAAACCAAAATATGCATATTAAAATCATAACACAGGAAAAAGATACGCTGGCATATTTATTCCAGAGGTACAAATAAAATACAATACCTAGCCTTCATTTCACTCTGAATCATAACAAGCTGTACATATTAATGACAGCATTTCTGTAGAAACASTAATTTGCTACCAAAGAGTCCCCTGCAAAAAGTGGTCTTTGGTGTGATTTGTTTCTATTATTGCCAGTACTGCTGATTAATAACACACATTTTCAGTTAATTTTGGATCTCAGCATGCCCTTTAATCTTGCATTGTTTCTTTTGTCTTGCTATTACAGAAAAATATATTTTGTATCCTGAGGCCCAATTCCAATTACTATAAGTTAATCTATTAGGTGATGAAGCACCACATAGGCAGAAAATGTGTATGTGAAAGTGAAGATGTATCTCAGGGTTTGCTGGGGTTTGCTTGCCTTGAAATGATGTTCTCTATAAATCTCAGAGCATGTTCTCTGTCTGTGTGTGATAACCAAAGCTTTGTTTTGGATGTTGTCCCAGGTATTACGAAACCGGGAGCATCAAGCCTGGAGTGATCGGAGGATCAAAACCAAAGGTCGCCACACCAAAAGTTGTCGAAAAAATYGCAGAATACAAACGCCAAAATCCTACCATGTTTGCCTGGGAGATCAGGGACAGGCTCCTTGCTGAGCGRGTGTGTGACAATGACACGGTGCCCAGCGTCAGCTCCATTAACAGGTAAAGAAACACCCTGCTCCTGGGGTGGGATGGCCATGGAGCGCTGTGCCTTTGGTTTTTGTAGGATTTGGTGTTTGGGGCTGCTGGTGACACAAGCAGCTTCACCTGCTTGCCTGGGGCGCAGCTGTGGGTTTGCCTGGGTGGCTGAAGCTCTGTGGATGGTGAGGGTTTCCCAGAGTGGGCAGGGGATGCTGACAGCCTTTGTTYCTCTCCTGTCCTTTCCTCTATCAGTGAGGGGAGGACATTTCTGGGAATGACCCCATGTATTTCTACAAATGGAGCTGCAGTTCTGCTCTGGGGAATGTGCTTTGCCCAGAGGGAAAGCTCAGATGGCCCTTGAGGAGAGTGGCCAGTGAAATTTAGGGATTTTATACAAAGCACGGTAAGAGGGACCATTCTGTCCCTGACACCTCTTTGGTGTTGGGGATGTTGGTCCAGGCCGGTGCTCAGTGTGAATATCAACGGAGGAACGTGGCTGGCASTGTCTGAGGGTTCTGCTCTCTGCTTTTTACGTTGGGGAACTTAACTGGCCTTGAATTGCTGTTGTAAAAGTTCAGGGCAATGCCATTTGGAGACTCAGACCCATGTCTGAGAGTTTGCCACAGCCTCACAAGTCAGGGCTGAGCTCACAGCAGGGTCTAGAAAGGCTCTAACCTAGGCCTTGTCCACTCATTTCATTTTCACTCTGTTCCAGGCCTCCTCCTCACCACATTGGTGAGATGATTTTCACTTGTGCGACTGCATGCAAATTCTTCAAATGCAGCTCGCTATAAAATGTCTCATTTGCGTCCACAGATGTGAAATAAATTGATGCTATATTCTTTTATTGGCCATCCCAATCTGATTTGCATTCATGGAGTTGCCGCTTGAATAGCCCGAGTGGCTTCCCCAGCGTTAGTGGAGGATGCAGGCTCTGCCTTGATGGGATGAGTGTTGAGTCATGCGTTTGTGGGATTGAGAGGAAAAAGGAAAAATGTTCGTGTACAGCCTCTGCTGCTGCTTGGGAGCCCCTGGTTTGGACACTCCAGAGCAGAATGAAACAATTCTATGGACTTGGTGTCTTTGGTTTTAAAGAGGATTTGAGAAATAACAGAGACACCAGGAAAACGAAAGGAAAATGTGGAATAGCTAAGGGGAAACTCTGCTTCCATTAAGGTCGRGTGATGTGAGAAGCGTGGCAACAGAGAGCAGTGCTCGTGGAGGAGAACTTCAAATGTCCTCCAAAAAACTACCAAAAAGGCAGTCACAGCTCTAAATAAAAAGGAGATTTAAAAATAACTTCCAGTCACATTTTGAGCCGATTTCCATGTTCCTCTTGCTGCGTCCTTGCACATTTCCACACTCACAATGCCCACACCCCCACGGCCCTTGTGTCAAAACCTGGTTCATGATTTGTCACCAAGGCTTTTTGCTGCATATCTGATTCTTTCTCATCTGCTTGTGACTGTGGCTAAGGTCTTCTCCTTTCCTTAAAGGGCTGCAATCCCTTTGAAGAAATGCATGCAGTCTGTTTGAGTCAATCTGTTTACCCAGAGAATTGTTTTTGCCAGCTTAGGAGCTCATGATGAAAACCTTGACTGAACACTCGTGACAAAGAACCTGGAATTCACATAAAAACACTTGGCTTTAATGCTGAATCCCACCCGTTCCAGCAGTCTGTGCATTTTATCCTCATTTTAACACTGAGGGTACACTTTGGGGTTTTTTTTTGATGGGGAGGATGCAGTCCCCTGCCCACGATGTCCTTATTCACTGTTAAATGCAAACCTGGGGTTTTTGGGGATGGGCTGTGCMCAGCTCACCCTGCTGCTGAGATGGCCTTTTAACAGACAAGTTTGAGCTGCTGCCCCAATGTAAGAGTGARTGATAATAATAATGATAATAAAAATAAATAATTAGCATTACTTTTAATAATAAGCCACTCTTCAATAGCAGGAGCAAGTCAGAGTGATTAAGACTTAATTAATCATTGTGATTAGCTTTGCTCAAATAAGCTGAGATCTGTTGAGTTGCTTTCAAGTGCTCCAGTCTCCATTCCTCCAGGGATAAAGATGTTTGTGTGTCAGAAGGTCCTGAGCACCTTTTCCTCACCGTGACAGCTTTGTGCAGGGGGCTGTGTCCACTCCTGACCACGCAGGGTCCTTTCTCTTTGGCCACGCTGCTGTCCAGCTGTTGGTGCCCCACGCTGGGCTGTGCTGCTGGAACCATCTCCTGGTTGTGCTGGACAYCCAGCAGCTTCCCCTGGGTCTGCAGCAGTGAAAGATGGTTTGTGGAGAGAGAAAAACTGTGCCAGACTTCATCAGAGTCCTCTGAGGAA